GTCCCCGAATTGCGCTCAGTTTTTATTCGCTCCCCGTACCGCGCTTCTTTTCCCCGTACCGCGCTTCTTTTCTCCGTACCGCGCTTCTTTTCGTTTTTGTTCATACAATTATAAATAAACATTACGCAAATACATCTACACAAACATATACGCGTATATACATTATATATAAATATAAATATTATAAATATATTTATGCAAAAATACACATACGAATTACAGACACAGACACAGACGCATACGACACAGACAAACAGACAAACAGAGACATAGAGACTGACAGGCACAAATTTAGGTAGACAGAAATTTAGAGAGTGAGATATGGCAAGCAGAGACAAAACGAACCACAGGTCTGTCCACCTATCCGTCCAACTGTTTACTCACTAATTTTAATCAAAAAAATATTCTTTCTATATTTATTATTGGTATTTTTTTTTTTTTTTGTTTATTATATTAATCTTTTATATTGTTGTTTTTCCCTTCTACTGTTTTTTTCCCTTCTTTTGTGGTATTCTTTTATCAGCAACAGTTGAAACATTTTTTTGTGGTTCAAATTTGTACAAACACTCACACAAATACAAAAAAAACAGACAACGTTAACTTTATTAGTTGCTTTTTCTTTTGCAATTTATTTTGTTGTTCTTTTGTACTGTAAAATTTTTTTCACTTACTAGTAAAATATAATCTAAAAAAACTTGCAGTTTTTTTTTCTTTTGTCTTATAATCATTACTGGATTTCACTCAGCTGTATGTTTTTTGTTGTCAGGTATTGTCTAAAAATAGAAAAAGAAGAGGAAATTTGAAAAGATGGAATCTTATAGTTGGAATAACTGCTTAGACACTTCTAAATAATTTGACTGTACTTTCAGATTAAAGCTGACGTATTATATTTTATTAACTGATTACATTTTTGTTCATATGTTTGTTGGTAGCTGTTTTTTTTTGAGCAGTAATAACTGTTTAGTTTAGTTTAGTTCAGCATTTTTTCATTGGCGATAAAACTGAAGATATCTAAGATAGGATAACTGAATTAGACAAAGAAGAATAGAGGAAAAGAAGTGCTGATAACGATAGTGTAAATTTGGGAACAAGAAAAAAAAATAAAGAATAACTTTTTTATACTGTTTCTTTCAATATGATTTTCATATGGAATTGTTCTACATTAAGACAGTTTCATATGAAAATTAACTATCACTGTGTATCATTTCTGTGATAATCGGGTAAAAATCTTTTGTTTTTTTGTTTGTTTTCAGTCGATAAAACAAATTAATTTTTATTTCAGTTTTGCCTATATTTTTTCCTCTAATTTTTTTTTTTTTCAAATTTCTTTGTTTTTTAAAAGTTATCTGAATATAAACATTAATTTGCAGCAAAAATGTTTTATTTTTTTTTCAAAAATAATTGTTTTTTGAACTAAATGACGACAGTCTTTTTTTGTTGAATTACTAAAGTTATAGGATAATATTTATGCATTTTCTTTGTCTTTTTTTTTTGCTGAAATACTGCAAATAATGCTGTTTAAAAAAAAAAAAAAATGTTTTTTTTCTTCAATTGTTTTAGGAGGAGAAAAAAGGGCGGAAGATTGTTAGAAGAAGAAGAAGAAGGAAAAAATTGGTACACCAAAAAAATGTAGTTGTATTTTGAAACTGTGGTTTTGAAATACACTTTTTTCTTGTTTTTGTTTTTGGTTCATAAATTCTCAATTTTTTGGTTGTTTTTTTTTTTTCGCCATCGCTAAATGTATACCTCACTAATGAATTTTCGTTTTTTTTTTTTTTGATATTTAAAATATATATATTTATTAAAAATACAGAATCTTTAGAAGACAGTGCTGCTACGAAGTGTTGCGGTTTTGTTGATACAGTTGAACTGTACAAACAGATTTATCACAAAGAGGTAAAAGTGATCTGAAAATTTTGAAATTT